TGTGTGTGTGTGTGTGTGTGTGTGTGTGTGTGTGTGTGTGTGTGTGTGGACTGTATTTAATCTTTTATTTTTCATATTTTCAAAGCAAAGACACAGTTTGCTGGTTTCTGTGTGAATCTGTGGTAATAAAGGGAATCAGGCTGAATGTGTGTAAAGTGTTTTATTTCACATCGTCTAAACGGGGCTGAAGCAGCAAAGCAAACGTAGTTTTTAAACCTGCTGGTCAAACTGAAACACGGCAGTGAGACGTTGAACACGAGATTCTGGTCCACGAGCTGCACCGACACCGTCGTCTACGCTCCTGTTACATGCTCTTGTTTCTGCTGCACACCAGGGAAACGTGAAGCACAGTCATCGTACTGCAGCATTTACGGATCGTGAGGAGCTCCTGCAGTGGTTCTCTGTCAGATCACAGGTTACAGGTCTGTTAATGTAAAGCTCTGAGTGCAGTAAAACTAAATCTAGTGGCAAGTGAGTGAAGCTGACGAGTCCAACAGGTCACAGTGGTGCTAACAGCAGCTGGCAATGATTTCAGAGCCCGTTAATGTTCGACACCAAAACCCTCCGAGTGTGACGGACACGATGTTGTATCATAAAGAACAAGTGAAGCTCACTAATGAGGGCAGGCAGCAGAACCCAGAAGCAACCAGCCCGAGGTAAAACATCAGCTTTCACTCTGTTAACAAGTGGTGACATGTTTGTGATCAAGTCTGACTGAGGTCTTGTGTAGCTGCTCACACCTGATTGGATCATCGATAAGCAGGTGCACAGCTTTATTAGGAACACCTGTCTCCTGCTGCAGGTGGATGGTCAACCGTTGTGACACCCAACGGCAACAGAAGAAGAAGGCAGGTGTCTCAGTTGTAATGTACATGTTGACATGTGTGTTCATGTACACGTATGTCAGCGTGTGTGTGTTGACATACGTGTACATGAACACGTGATCTGTGTTTCAGCTGTAGGGCTTCGTCTGAAACCCGCTGACATGTTTGTTGACTGAAATCAGTCGGATGAATTCCAGCAGAGAAAAACTCAGCGAGGAGTGAGAACACAAAAACAAACAGTTCACTGCCTGGAGGGGCCTGGAGGGGCCTGGAGGATCCTGGAGGATCCTACAGGGCCTGAAGGGCCAGGAGGGTACTGGAGGGGCCTGGAGGATCATGGAGGGTTCTGGAGGGTCCTGGAGGGCCTGAAGGTTCTGGAGGGTTCTGGAGGGTCCTGGAGGGCCTGAAGGTTCTGGAGGATGCTGGAGGGTCCGGAGGGGCCTGGAGGGGCCTGTAGGGCCTGGAGGGGCCTGGAGGGAAGAAGTTTGGAGGAGAGTTTGTGAAAGGTTTTTGAAAGCTTTGAAGTGTGTATTATGTATTGTCTGGACTGATCACGTGATCGATGTGTGAAACATGATAATCAATATCAGAGGGAGGTCAGTTATGTGTACAGTTTTCTGCTGAAGTGACTTATTACTGTTCAGTCATCTATTCAGCTGCAGCGTCTTCACCCCCCACCGTCCGTCCCTCCAGCCGCCGGTCCGTCCAGTCGACCGACAGCCTTCAGACTGTAAGTATGATTTCACTGATTTACAGAGAAAAGCCTCTTTTCAGTCTGTTTCCACTCAGCTGCAGCCTCAGTAATCCTTTAAGAACTCTCACCAGACTCCATGCAAATATTTCATGATTTTAGAGTTGAGTGTAAAACAGCTGCCGCAGTGAATGAAGTGCAGCCACAGTAGGAAGAACACTGAGGTCTGGAAAGTTTGTAGGTGGTTTGGAAAGTCTGAAGGACATTTAAAAAGTTTGGAGAAGGTTTGGAAAGTTTGGAAGAGGTCGGAAACAGTGTTAGTGTTTCAGTTTGACCGTTGCCCTGAATGTTTGCTTGTTGTTTTTGATTTGTTGTTTACTGTTTGTTAATGTGTCTTGTAGTTTTTTTGTGGTTGTTTGGTTTACCTGTTCTCTATTTGTTGTTTGCTTGTTTACTTGCTTGTTTATTTGTTTGTCAATTAGTTTGTTAAGTAGTTTTTTTATTTTTGTTTTATTTGCTGTTCAGAAATGTGTTTACTTGTTGTTTATTGTTTCTTTATTTGTTTGTTGTTTCTAAATGTGTTAACTTGTAGATTGCTTGTTTTTCACGAGTTTGTTTATTGATTAGTTTGTTTCCTCTTTATTTATGGGTTTGTTGTTTGTTTACTCTCTGTTTATGGGTTTGTTGTTTGTTTACTCTTTGTTTATGGGTTTGTTGTTTGTAAATGTGTGAACTTGTTTGGTGGTTGTTTTTTAGTTTATTTTAATAGATTGTTTGTTTGTTTTCTTGTTGCCAGGTTGGTTCTGATGAAGCTCAGATTCTGAAAAGTCCTCTGCTGCTGCTCTTGTTGCTGAGATGGGTTTCACGGACCTGCTGGAAGAGGTAAGACAGAGTAATCGGATTACATGAAGAGACACTTTAGCCAGACACCTGTCCAGACAGACCTTCAGTCTGTAGCATGAAGCAGGATTTGAGGTTCTGGAGGAACCTTCAGCCTTATCTCTGGGTTTTTGGTACTATGGTAGCGGTTCACTTCTTACCAGGTGCATCACCGTGGTAACTGATGCTGAACACCTGAACTGGTCCAGGTAACAGATCAGTAGTCAAACACCTCCGACTGAACAAGCAGCTCTCTGGAAAACATCCTCGTGATTCCTGAAGAGTCCAGTTTTAGATACAGAGAGAAGATCAGAGTTTTGAAAGACATATCATTGTTCTATCTGCATTTGTAGAGCAAATTAACCCTGAAACAGATTAAAACAGTATTTACACGACTAAAAGGAAGGGATGAAAAAAACAGAATATAGGAAATAGAGACACACTCTATTTCCTATATTCTGTTTTTTTCATCCAGGTGTTATGGGGNTTTACCTGTGCTTTCCTGTGTGTTTGCAGGATCTGAGTTCCTCTCAGAAAAGTGGAGGAAACCTGCTGCAGATGTTGTACGATAAACCCAGTCGCTGGTCCTACACCTTTCAGGTAACGACACCTGACTCTGCCCTCTGGTTACCTGTCAGCAGCAGTCAGTGGACAAACTGTTACTCACCTGCATCTCACCTGTGTGCAGAGTTACGCGTGTCTCAGCCGAGTTCGTGCTCAGCTTCAGTCTCCTTCAGCCAAACTTCAGCAGGCGGAGAATCCAGTTCAGTTCTACGAACGCTCCGTCTACTCCGACAGGTGAGTGCACACACCTGAGACTGCTCAGATCAGTTCTGCAGTACCCCGTGTACTGTGTGTACAGGTGTGTATTACCGCAGTAACCCTGTGTACTGTGTGTACAGGTACGTGTTTGCATCCAACCTGTTTGAATGCGGGAACCTGACAGAAGCGGAGTTCAGTGTTTATCAGGACTGGCACACCTGGTTACTGAACCAGTTTGAACCGGACATCACTCTCGATGCCATCATCTACCTGAGAGCCCCACCACAGGTAACTGTACTACTACACCTGTAGTACTACACCTGCTGTACTACACCTGCTGTACTACGCCTGTGTGTTTGTCTGTATACTTCAGCGCTGTATGCAGCGGTTGCTCCATCGGGGTCGGGACGAGGAGCAGGGCATTCCTCTGGAGTACCTGGAACAGCTTCACTTCAAGCATGAGTCCTGGTTGTACCACAGGAACCTGAGGTGAGGAGGAACCGTACGAGTGAAACACTCTTTGTAGCAGAACCATAGAAGGATCTCAGAGCAACTAAAGTGAGTCCAGCTTTCATTCCTGAGAGTCTTTGGTTCCTTCATTCTTTATCTCTGGTGACAGACTCAGTCCTCCTCACACGGGGGAGACCAGAGTAGTTCTGGTCCTCCGTCCATAGAGGCTGATGTTCTGAAGTGTCNGTTACAGGTGTGTCCAGGTATTACAAATGTGTCCAGGTGTTATTGGGGTACAGGTGTGTTTATTTGTTAAAGAGTGTTCCAGGTGTGTCCAGGTGTTAGAGGGTGTTACAGGTGTGTGATGTCTGCTCTCTCTCTCCGGTTGCTGTGCCGAGGTGGGCGGGTTTGGCAGGTACCAGTGGATTCATGTGACTCTGATCAGTTTTCCTGGTTTGATGATGGCGAGTCAGAACCTGCTGAACAATTTCATCTCAGGAATCCCCACCCACCACTGCAGCCTGCCGTCCAATCACAGCCTTCACAACCTGTCGCTGTCCTACCAGGTAACCTGCCTCATTCATATCAGATTAACTGATGGCATATTTCTTTACTGCAATTGGCTGGTTGGTCTGACAGACAGATGAATGTGATTGGTTAGCTGTGATTGGCCGGTTGGTCTGATGGGTAAATATGATTGGCTGTTTCAGGTGGATGAGAAGCAGCTGCTCAGAGTGTTCATCCCTCCAGACTCTTCAGGAAGTCGACTGGACCGCTGCAGGAGGTGACCACTGTTTCCTGTGTCCTGCATTGTTTTGACAAATGACTTGACTGTGACATCACATGTGTTCTACCTGCTCAGGTACGTGGAGCCTCAGTGGCAGCTGCTTGCTGCGAACAGCTCGGCTAATGTTAGCATGCTGCCGACCGAAGGCTGTATGGACGGATGGACGTTTGACCGCTCCGAGTTTCTTGCCACTACCGTCTCTGAGGTAACCATGTTGTTTATTAGCAGGACAATAATGAATATTAATTAGTCTGATCAATAATATCATCAAGGAGGTCACTTAATATGGACATTACTAAGGGCAAGTGCTGTTATGAACACATTGCACTGATGTTTTTGATCGCTGTCTCTGCCTGTCTGTCTCCCAGTGGGGTCTGGTCTGCTCTCTTCGTCCTCTCAAACAGATGATTCAGACCATTTACATGGGTGGAGTTTTAACAGGTGCCATAATCTACGGCGGCCTGTCAGACAGGTGAGACTCACCTGTCTGGTAAACATTCAACCTGTCAAAGGTGTGCAGTGCAGTCAGACCATTCTCCCTCTGTATGTGTCTCAGATTTGGACGTCGCTCTGTCCTGATCTGGTCGTACCTGCAGCTGGGTGTGCTCGGTTGTAGCTCCGCCCTCTCTCCGTCATACACTGCCTACTGCATTTTTAGGTTTCTGAGTGGAATGGCAGTTTCTGGAATCATCCTCAATGGCGTCTCACTGAGTACCTGTCCCCCTGTTTACCTGTCTACGTTTGTACCTGCATAACTGTGCATTTGTTTAACTGTCTAACTTTGTACCTGCTTAGCTGTTTACCTGTCTACCTGTCTCCCTTTGTACCTATCCACCTGTTTACCTATGTACCTGTCTACCTGTGTATCTGTGTATCTGTTTACCTTTGTACCTGTCTGTAGAGGTGGAGTGGATCCCGACCAAATCGAGGACTTTAGTGGGCACGCTCACCTCCTTCTTCTTCACCTTTGGACAGATGATCCTGGCAGGGCTTGCCTATTGGCTGAGAGACTGGAGGAAACTGCAGGTGGTCGTTTGTGCTCCTCAGTTCCTGTTCTTCACCTACAGCTGGTCAGTGATTGGTCAGCTGTTTCTGTCTGCTCTGTGATTGGTCAGCTGTCTCTGTCTGCTCAGTGATTGGTCTGCTGTCTCTGTCTGTTCTGTGATTGGTCAGCTGTTTCGGTCTGCTCTGTGATTGGTCAGGTGGTACTCGGAGTCGGCTCGTTGGTTGGTTTTGAACCGACGCTCTGAGGACGCCTTAAAGACTCTTCACCGAGTTGCTCGAATCAATGGAAAACCAGAGATGATCAACAAATTAACAATGGAGGTAACGTACCTGTCTGTCATATCTATGAAGGTGTATTCAGTCCAATCAGAAGCTCAGCTCACTACATGTCAAAACAGGTGCTCCACTCTCACATGAGTAAAGAGATCGAGTCGAGTCATTCGTCGTTCACAGCATTTGACCTGCTAAAGACCAGAGGGATGAGACGCATCTCCATCTGTCTGATCGCCGTCTGGTCAGAAACACACCTGTTCACCTGTTTGTCTGTTCAAGTGTTCACCTCTTCTCCTGTTCATGTCTTGTTAATTATTTAATTCCATTACTCTATTGATTGAATTTCTTTGTTGAACATTAAAATAAACAAAGTTTAATTGTATATCTACCTGTCCAGATGTTTACCTATTTGTTTACCTGTCTATAGGTTCTCCACCAGTTTTGCGTACTATGGTTTGGCAATGGACCTGCAGAAATTTGGAGTGAGTCACATGATACCTGCCTTTCCACCTGTCTGCTTGTCTTCCTATCAAGCATTTATTCCAGCTGGTTTAAACCCTTCCTTGCAACCTGTTTTTTAAAATAAGTTTTTAAAGAATGTTTACAGAGTCGGCTGAGATAGGCTCCGCCCCCCGCGACCCTAGTGAGGATTAAGCTGTGTATAGATGATGGATAGATGGATGTTTACAGTGTTTATATTTATATATTTTATACTTTCTTATTTGTGTTTATGTCTATTTGCACCATTTGAGACTTCCAACTGCAATTTGGTTATGTGTATGGGAGCATATGCATCATAACAATAAAAAGATTCTGATTCTGATTCTATTGGTTGGTTCATACTGAGCTACCTTCCTACTGCCTGTTGGTTTTTCCAGGTGAGTATTTACCTGATGCAGATCATCTTTGGAGCTGTAGATTTTCCCGCAAAATTATTTGCTCTGGCCATACTCAGTTTCCTGGGGAGACGGGTCTCCCAAGTGTGCTGCCTCTTTCTGTCGGCCGCCATCATCTTTGCCAACATCTTTGTCCCGACAGGTAACTGACCCTGATTTTCTCCTGAATCCATCATATGCTCACTGTGATTTAACCCAGGATCCTTCTGGTCTCACCTGGTCTCACGCCCACAGACATGCAGACCCTCAGGACCGTCCTGGCTTGCCTTGGTAAAGGTTTCACCTCAGCTTCCTTCACAACCGTTTACCTGTACACCGGGGAACTCTACCCCACTGTCATCAGGTGAGACCACATCATCTGCTGGTCAGCTGATTTGTGACGTATTGATCACATGATGTGTGTACTGTGTTCAGGCAAACAGGAATGGGCTTCGTCTCCACCATGGCAAGAGTTGGCAGCATGGCGGCCCCCGCTGTCCTGATTCTGGATGAGGTAATGTCACAGTTGTTCAGCCTCTTTACTGATACAGCCAATGATCAATACAGACACAGTAGCTGATCCCTGACCATTGAATTACAGCTGATCAATACTTGTATGTACATCACATGATATGCAGGATGTGTCACTGATAGTGCTGATGGACTGCATTTCCCAGGTACTCCCTGCTCTGCCCAGTTTGGTGTACGGCGGGTCAGCGGTGCTCGCTGGCTGCTTCGCCTGCTTTCTGCCCGAAACGCTCAACATGCCGCTGCCTGACACCATCGAAGACGTGGAGGAGAAATGGTACAGTAGCTGTGTTGGCTTCGTTAGAGCTTCCCCTTCATTAACAACTCTAGCTTGGTGAGCAGCTGTAGCTTTACCAGTGTTTTCGCTTCATTGACAGCAGTAGTCTAATTAACCGTTAACCTTATCAACAACGTTAGCTCCAGCTACACCACTAGCTTCATCACCAGCTTTAGCTTTATAAGCTGTTTCACCTTCATTAGCAGCATTAGCATCATTGGCTGTGTTGCATTTGCAGCATTACTTTTATTAGCTATATTATATTCATCAGAAACTTTAACTTCATTAGCAGCGGTATCTACATTAGCTGTGTCAGCTTCATGAGCAGCATTGGCCTTATTAACAGCTTTAGCTTCACTAAGTAGGTGAACTACAGAAGCATTTTCCACTTCTGCTAATCATCAACATGATCAATAAATGTCTATAACTAACTACTGCTTGTGTTTGAAGGTCTGGAAGAAGCTCCGCCTCTACACAAAAGGGAGGTGTGTCTCGGAAAGAGGGCGTGGTCTCCAGTGATGGTGTGATGTCAGATGAGAGTGTGGCTTTGAAAGAACTAAAGGAAACAGAAGGAAGTGGCCTCAATGCCCTCTGACCAATCAGACAACACAAAATCATACAGTCAGCACCAATGATAACGGGACTGAAGCTCGACCAATCAGATGGGTGGAGTCACTAGTTTTAAAAATTCAGTAAAAAGGTTTTTTATTGTGACAGAAAATACATTTCCTGAGATTAAATCATAATAACAATAATAAATAATAAATAAATGCAGGTGTTAGATTATTGATTGATCAGGAAGTTGCAACAGTTTGTGTTGTTAATATCAATCAGTAAAGGAGCTGAATGTGATTGTAACACACCAGTGAACTGATCTTTAGTTATTTTATGAAAAGTGTCACAATGTGAGAACAAAGACTGTCGTAATCAATAAAGATGTTGATTCATTCTGAGTCTGCTCAGTTTGTTCAGTCAGGGGCAGAGTTTGTTTGGACCTGAGACTGTCTCTATTTAGGCCCGATTCAGAATGTTTCCCCTGGATGTTAAAATGGTACAAGGAAAAAGGTCCCTGAATGTCTACAATTTCACTTTTATCGACGTACACCTGAGAGTAGATACAACACATGCACGGATCAGTCAGTCGCTTGGAGTCCAGTTAAATCCATCATTAAGAAATGGACGTAATATGGCACATGAGTAGATCTGACGAGAGCAGAAACTGAGTGACCAGCAAGAAGGAGACTAGAGAGGGAGGCCACCAAGGTACATATGATGTGGAGCGCGGTGGTGGCAGCGTCATGATGAAGCACGGCGGTGGCAGCGTCACGATGAAGCACGGCGGTGGCAGCGTCACGATGAAGCACGGCGGTGGCAGCGTCATGATGAAGCACGGCGGTGGCAGCGTCACGATGAAGCACGG